TGGGAACACTACGTTAAACGTTGTGGTTGCCAATCAGTCTATTTCCGAGATGACTGCTCTGTCCTTTACTTGAAACAGTTTTTTCTTAGTTTTGTTATCATTGTGTGTCAGATGTGAGACACAGCTTTACTTTCAGTGTGCAAAATCTTTGTTCTTTTCAAATGGGCCGCTTCTAATATGCATGATTTCTTTCACCAACCACGAACAACAGAATCGGCATTAGCGAGAGTTGAACTCCGATGACTTCTCCTCCAGAAATGAGCATATATACCTCGAACCTGATTTTCATCGTTCACAGGTTTTCTCTAATTCTTCTAAAAACAGTTTCAGCATGAGAATATGGGTGGTTGGCATGAAAAAATGCCAATGAGAGAAATATCCACTTGTTACCAACACAGTGAGGTATCGAATGTATAGTTTGGGGAGCGACGTGAAATAAAGATAGCTATGGCCGGTTTTTGATAGACCTCCATGGTACTTCGGAGAGCTCGTTTCGGAATTTAGACGAAATCTGGCATTAATTTATCAGTGCTATACAAACCAACTCATTTGTCCCTCCAGTTTCCACATACTATTATCTCTCATTTTTAGATTATCTCGCTTTTAGCGAAAATAAAGCTCATGGATAAATCTTTATTTGATGGGACTGCCACATGTACCTTTCACTGGTGTCAGATATTTTATGTCACGGTTGAAATCGTTGTAAAGAATCATTTTATGCCATACCATTTTATAAAAATATTGAGTATTGATGAACCGAACTATATGTCTGCTCAACACTCAAAACTACTTTCGGGGAGCATTGAAAATTTCCTTTTTACTGCATATATATTCTCATTCAAATATTATGTACCAACTATCTCAACTGAACATATTGTTTTCCATTCATAAATGTGAATAGAGAAGTCAGAAACATGAATTTGCACAACATATCCATGGTCATTCCACTGCATCTGTACAAGTGCTCTTACAGTCGAAGTGATTTTTTAACTAACAACAATAAAGTCAGTTGATTTCATTTTAGACTTCATCGACGTGTTCCGCCCGCGGGTAGCGGTGGTTCCTTTCAACACTTTTCGGTGACATTATTATCAGGAGAGCTTTCCCAATCGAACAAGCTGTACGACTTGCTTCGGTGTTTGCTGTTGCATCGCGCTGTCTCATTGAGTTTATCAACTAAGTCAAGTTATTCGACGCCGCCACTGGTTCCGTTGGTTCCAACAACGCCAAAGTATCTAGAAATCGAGCCTAATCTAGTATACAAGTTCCGATAGTAACTGGTTGTCAAGTTGATCTAATGCGGTCATTCACATACACGTAACGTAATCATAATCCGAAACCGTTATCGATCCTACGGCAATTTGGGACCCCTCGTCTTCGACATTTAGTTGACTGGATTTTCAGATGGTGATAAACCGACCTCATGCCATGGCAAGATTTTCCAATCATTTTAAACCATCCACAGTTTGGAGATTCATTCGGATTCCATTCCGTCTACTTACAGAGTCTCGGTTGTCTTTCAGTCCGAATAGTACGCAATAACTCATTGCCACCTTCCATGGACTACTTATTTCTGTTTACCCCATGATGGCATAAACAATCCTTTTGTCTGACACTTCCCTGATCCACCCATGGTAATTTTAAATGTTTTGGTTTTGTAGATGAATTTCGTTTCCTGGTCAACAATCTCCCAATGTCTCACCTTATTTTCACAGTCAGAACACTTGTAGACCGGGGCAAATTCTAGTGGTTTAATTAAGTTGCAGAATATGAATCTTACAAATTCAGACGTGAAATACTCGCTGCTTCTGAAGTGGTCATTGCTCAGTGTTTAAGATTTAGAATGATTATATTGTTTTCACCAAACCTAGTGGTATAACCAGCAATAGGTAAGCTAAATGTCATTTTTACGTGAATTTTCCTGATGTGTTTGGGCTTATTGTGTTCTCTGACACCCATTAATGAAAAAACCGTTTATCCTTCTTCAGCATAAACAATGAGCTCTTCCCGGCGGGTAAACGCATCTATAGGAACTGCATCTATTCATGCTTTCTGCTGACCTGACATTAATTTTCTCTGCTTTTTCTTGTACTCTTTACCCTCAATTCACAGTTCTCTTGATAATCCTCCCTACTCCTGAATAGTTCATCGAATTCATCAAGTCAAGGCTTTTGGTGAGTAAATATTTTGCACAGTTTCCCTGAATTCATTCTGACGATTTATGTGAAATATTCGGTGACTATGCTTTCAGCACTTGACAAAGGCATAAGGATAAGATCCGAGATAATCGCAAATGAAGGCATCTGGTTCCACTAATCGTGATCAAAATGAACGGCAAAAACAGCAAACCATTATTAGTCATTTTCTACTTCCTCGGCAATGACATCAACTTTTTTATGTTCATGTTGATATTCTACCAAGGATATAACAGTGGGGGGATTGATTAAACTTCTTAGTGGTTTGAAGGATGAATTGGGGTCAACTGTCTTGTTATCATGAGATGTTTTACAATAGAAGACCTTGAATGTCTTGTGATCACTTGACCTTCTAATTCTATATTTAGTAATCTTTGTATGCTTGTGCACGTCCATTCGCCATAATTGAACAACCCCATGTTCAATGTTTGATGCTCCAAGCATAGCTAGGTCAAATCAATCGTAGTATCAAAGGTCACCAGTCCAATCCGGATGAGCAGAATATCCGTACACAGCTGTGGAACAATTGGGTACCATCTGTCCTGTCATGGGGCGTTTTCTTGGTCTGATTAACCCGCATCTGCTTCTTCGAGCATTCAGATATCGGCAGTATTTTGGTATTCTTTATGTTCTCTAGAAAGAATCACGCGGTCCCGGATAAACTTCTTACACAATAACCGATTCCTTTGATGAATAAAATTTTGACGTGAACCTGACAGTCTATATGCACTCTAACTGTGTGCGTACATGCATTTTCTGCGCCTCTCTGCGTGAAATTTGCATTCAATTCATAATCATTTGCTGGACCATGCCAAGAAGATTCTATTATACTCCATACACGGTCACATGCTGTGTCATGCGGGTTCCAGTGAGCATCAAAGAAGAGAACATGTTGAGCAACATTGTGCCAGTTCTGCAGGTAATGTTTCATGGTGAAAGCAGACATTAATTGCACTGACTGGCTTCTGAAATTTATGGAAGCATACTTCAGGCTACATTTGCATTCACTTGATGATGAGTGTCACAGATCGCCTATAAAAACGCAGCGCTTACGTCACCGTGATGAATCATACCAAATTGTAACCTCGAGCACCACAGTGTTCAGTTACATATATGAAAAATCCTAGTTCATAGGTAGTAAATAGAATAAATCAAGCTACCAAGTGTTGAGTGTGCTTTTCTTAAAAGGTACTGTTGTGAGTTTGAGGAATGTTCCTCCGTTAAACCTTTTCCTGCTTCAAACAAAAAGCCACGATCCATTTCTTTTTCAATCGATTAATTGTTCATTCTTCGTCAGAGATACCTGTGTTAACCGTAATATTTTTTTTCAAATTTTAATTTGTTCAAGATTGATTTTGATGAAGAGTAAAAAACATAGTTGATACGAGAATAATACCTTGAGAAAGATTACGTCTCAGCATTGAGGAATGTGACGTTTTTCGACTAGTTTTACATACAATGCTCAATGTTATAAAGCCATCCGAGTGGATAGGAAAGCAATGTTGATTGACTGTTCCAAAACTATACGGTCGACTATAATTACGCGGTAACTCATGTTGTTGGAATAAAAAGACCTTTGGAATTCAGAAAGTGAAACGCAATGACGAATAAAACCAACTTTTACGCTAATATACTAGCGTGTATTAGTGCACGTACGTGTAGTGCGAGTAAATCCATCCTTTCGTAACGGGAAACATTGCTCAGGTCTTAAACTGAGAGAAATAAAAGCACTAGTTAACCCGTTGCCAAGATAGGCTTGTTAACTGTGAGATTCTTTGGATGTCGGAATACCGCACGATATATTGCCATATTTCTAGCTAGAAGCCACTCCTTTGTTCGGACGATGTAACACATCCCGCTTTCACGCACGCACGGTTTCTTCTGTGCTTATACTCTGATCCCGCCGTGAAGTTGATGATAAGCTATGCAACCTGGACAGCCGTTCACTTCTGTGTTGCTCTGCTGGGAAGACTCAATTCGTTGTTTTTGAAGTGTATTTCTCGAGTGTTCGCAAACAGAGAGAGAGAGGGCGAGAGTACATGTATTCGACCCATGCCGATTGGAGTGGTGATTTTAAAAATGTCACATGGCATTGTGTTAGGTTGGATAGGCAAATAGATAAAATATTCCACAAACAATAATGGCTATGAATGCTTTTCTAATTCCTCATATACACGGAATAATGTGAGTAGGAAGCAGGGCCGAATTGAGGTAGACGGGGGAAATGCAGGTAAACGAAGGATTGAGAAAGAATAAAACAGAGGAAATTGTTTGGGACAAGTTACCGGTGTGGGTTTGTAGTAGGGCAATCCAACTGTGCAGATCAAAAGTCTACCGCAAAAACGTAACTGTCTCAACTTTTCCACATTGTGGCAGTCTTTACCACAAATTGGAAGTTTCGAAATAGTCCTTCATAAAAACAAAAGATGAACAAAACAGAAAAAGTTGGCGTTTTTTCGTGGTGCCGGCAGTATTGTGCTTTTTACCAAGGATAGTACATTGCAAAACGTGAAAGAGCATATGAATAGATTGAACTGGTGAATCGATGTAGGAGGCCTTTGGTATATTTATATGTGTGTGTACATAAATGTGTATAAATATTTGTGTAAGCAAGTTTATTGAATGCAGTATATTATAGGCCATCACTAGAGGCAGTGTTTTGAATAAATGCAAATCAACGGTTTTTTAAGGTAAAAAGGAATTTCTGACGATAAATGATAGAAAAGACCATGTTTTACACCCTGTACCTGCGTGTCATGCATGACCATTTGCGTCACCATTGATTTTTGTCATGCATTTCACATTTTAATGTACCCATATCGCTTTTGCATAGCTACTACTAGGTTCGTTCCCGTATGGATTGATCGGACGCACCGGACCGGTAGTTAGAGTGCCCGATGATGTGCGACCGTCGCTAGTCTGAGAAATTTGTTTCCAACGCTGACGTTCCAGCCTACGTCGGCGCCTGCGTTCTCGACGTGTTAAGCCATCGGACGAGTGATATCGATTCATCCAGCGACTATAAAGCATTTGAGTTTCCAGAAGTCGCGAGGGTGTTTTTGTAGAAGCGGAAGGATTATCTTGATGGACCGGCATATGTGATGTGCGTTCCTGGAATAAGCTGGCAGTTACTCCTTTTGGGGTGGACTGCTGTGCGTTTTCCGCTTCTGTACGGAAACGTCCGTTGCGCGGGCGATTTGTAGTGTGAACTTCCTGTGCCACTAGCCTTTCAGCTTTTGGCATCTCTTCTGTCACAATAGTTGGTGCTCGAGAGCCTTTTGTCTCAGGTGATGGAATCTGTCTATCGGATGCTCGTGTAGAGGTCGGAGTGGATGCTACATCTGTACTGGGCGCATCGGAAAGTTCATGAGGTGCAGATCGCAGAATTTTCAGATTTCGCGTTGGTGCGAAAGAGTTCCTCCGTTTTTGTGGACCCATAGCAATGGCGGACTGTTGTTTGGGACAGAGATGTGAGACTGGTTGATTACGAATCGCTTGCATAGATCGACGAAATTCTACGGAGCTTCGATCCCAAACGGTGATGAATGTTACCTGCGTTGTTTGAGAAACAAAAAGAGTTCAGGTTTCAATAATTGTTGATTCACGGTGACAATACCGACCATAAATATGAATAATTAAAATATTGACTGAGAATGAATTGGAGCTGTGTGATCTATTGCATTATCTGATACATCACGCAGTGTGCATGTACGTGGATTACGTTGTTTTATTGGGTTAGAATCTTATGAAGTTCGATATTATTTTTTCCTTGAGGAATTATTGAAAATGTCGGAAAATCTATCAAACAATCGAAAAAAAATAAACACTTCAATAATTTTAATAATAATTAATAATAATTTTTAATAATTTTAAATATTGTTCCATCAATTAAAATGAAGGATCTCGGAAATTTCTGGAAAACGTTATACTGATAGCCGAAGCAAAGTTGGAGCTTACGGTGCCTTTTCGTCCAAATTAAGCAATGTTCGTCAAGCTTGCCCTCTCCCTTATTGACTATTTATCTCAGTTATAGATTTGATTCTGAAAACGATCTCGTCTTTGTGTGAAGACAGTGGCATCGATTTGCTCTCAGGTGCCACAAATTCTGATCTTGAGTATATTGATAACATTTTAGTGATATGTGAAGACCAAGTTAAGTTTTGAGCATTTTAGATAGTTTGAGTGCTAATGTAGCTATATTAGGCATGCGGTTTGCACTTTTAAACAGCAAAAGTCTACTACAGGGCAGGATTGGTCCAGCTACCAACCTCGCTCGAACCGGGAAAGTTATAGAGTAACCGAACAAATTTTATTCGTTAAGCAGCTATATCTTACCCCGGAATATGTATCACGGATGAAGTGTCGGCTCGCATACTGAAGGCTTGAATGTCATTTGCCAAACTAAAGACATCTGTAGCGTCGCCGCGAAGTTCGGTTGTCTGTGAACCGTTTAGTGTATGTTGGAGCAGTTTGAGCAGTTCTGATAAACGGTACAGAGACTTGGCCACTATTATGACGGGATAAAGTCAGACCGGCGGTGTTTGAACACTGTTGTCTACGCTGCATTGCACCAGCCTGGTAAGGAAACTGAAAAACGATGCTGCAGTTAGGAGAACATTTTTAGATAATCGAGATCACCCACCGGAGCAAGTGGTTGACCTCTATAGATTAAGCTATTCGGTGTAGAAGTTACGCTTGTCATCAATTAGATTGTCACTGCGGGCGTTGTTTGCCGAGGCAGGTAGTGGTTGGAAAAAGTGAGGAGTGGTCATGCTAACACCTGGCATGATAGTAGTAAAAACCCCTAATAGGAAACTTTCGCACTCAGGTAGCGTAGGGTTTCTTGTGAGGGGACAGTGAAATCAGTGTAACCGATCGCTGGAGACATGGAGTGAGATAGCCAAGTTTCGTGGAAAGTTTTATTCGCGCATCTATTCGGCGTCCTTGCAAGTTTAATCTTCATAAATTCCCTAGTTTCAACCTCACATTGATTTGAACATTCCCATCACACCCTCATTCAAACGGATAACCGCAAGACAGCAATCAGGCCACTGCAAAATTTGCACGGCTAATGGCTGCAAAATCTGGGCTCATATATTCTCTTGTGCGAATATGGGATGTAAGCAAACACAACACACACTATTCACCACACTGCTCTCACCTGAACCTGGTTGGTGAGTTGTTTTGTTTTGTCATCTAAAACTCGACGACCCATAACCAGCCATCGTTTTCGGTTAAGCTCGGCAGGATCCGTCTCTGAGTTTTGTCGAATCAAGCTAGAACAGGCAGAACAGTCCAACTGTAATTCGGTGATACCGTCCAGATCTTGTAAATCTGAATCACGTGCTCTGCGTCTCCTGTTCGATCCATTCTTCCGTCCTCGTTGTTGCAATTTCGATGCACCCCAGACCCCTGTCTGGTTGTTCTTGTGATTATCGTCATAGGGCCAAGGAGCCGAACGACCGTAACGAGAGAACCGATGATGATTTGATGCCGGTGTTTTTTGAAATCCCTGGTTTTCCTCATATTCTGACTCTTCGTCGTCGACCTGATCAGCAGGATCTAGGTGTCGATAGATTCTCGATTTGAGCACTCGATGACGCAATTTTCGCTGTCGATTCCTTCTTCGCATTTGGCGAAAATCCATGCTGGTGGTAATGGTTCCATCTTTACGCGCAATTTTGAGCGCACGAGTTTTGGGACTGAGCTTCAAATGCAATGCTGCGCGATTGTTAACCGGTGACACGTCCTGGATTGATGCGCGCAGGACTAAAATATTTTTAAACATTAATAAGAAAAAATATTGACAATCTAAATCAATTCGTGTTACTGGTGGGATATATAAAATCACAAAAATAAACATTCACCGCAGGTGTTCAAAGTAAGGCATGATTATTGATCTCCTACGGAGTGGAACTCACAACCAGCATCGTCAACAGCGCCGGTGAAAACCGAATGGGCTATTCCAAACATTCACCATCTAAGGTATAACTTTCTTTACACCAAACAGGTGATGCTCTGGAAATTTTGAACAATGCCATTTTTATAGTTTGACTACTGACAAAGTATTAAGTAATTTGTTGAAGAAACCCGATATTAGTGATTTAAGCTGCAGGTATTTTTCCGCTTTGACTGATGCGGTAATATCAGAAGAGTACCGTTGACATTTTTCTGGAAGCTGGTGATATCGTTACGTTCATAATCATTTACTTTATGTGTGATGACAAACACCGAAGAACGACTATCCAATTTAGTTTCCTCTCGAGCGTTTCCCATTTGATCGTGAATTTTGTTATATCCTCTGCCACAATGAGTTCCTTCCAAGTTGCTATAATCCTTTCCTTGAACTGTAGTTTCTTGGTCCTGGTACCACGTCCTTCGTTGTAACACTTTGATATAAAAAATTGAGGTTATTTTGTCGCCTGTGCCAATCGTGTCAACGTCAAAGAATTCAAACATGTTGTCTACGTATATCAACTGACTACAGATGATATGTTTTTCCAGTGTACCACAATCAAGTACAAAAGGATAAACTGGTCTGGGTCTTTCCTTTGGTAGGCAATCAACTTTTGTGTGAGCTAATGATTGGAATTGAATTCTTAGTAGGAACCAACAGAATTCGTAGGTGAAAGCATATTTGTTTAAGTTTACTCCACACATATTTCATTCAAGGTAAATAATACGGTTTCATGCAACTTTCTGTTGGTAAGTAAGAGGTTGAGCACTACCTAATTCTTACTGTTTCATTAATGACTATTTTATTGACTCAGAATTTTGGTGTTTCCGATTTTGCATCTCTCCGTTTCTTCTGGACTGGTTACGTCATTTGAACTAATCATCTCAGAATTTGATTGTGCAGTCAGTTTATCATTCATACTGTTTTAATTGTCCAAATATGCCATCCTTACACATTGTAAGATAACACAGAGTGGCAAACAAGCTCGTTTGCGGTGATTCTTCTACAGACTAATATATCACAACTTATATGAAACTGTTTGATAGGGAGGAGAAATCATGATAAGTTGGAAGAGAACTAATCAACATTCCAGTTCCATGATCGGATGTTGCTCACACTTTGGTTCTCACATTTGCGCACTGATCCGGGTCATTAGGGGTGGATTTGTCGTGTGTGGTGTTGGCCATGGAAGATTGAGTGTTATTACGAATTGTTTTGGGAACATGGGAGAGGGGAGGGGTTATTTAGGCTCGTTCCGTCGCTTCCGCTGTGGCCAAAATGCTACTCGTAATCCTCTAAGATCGGCGGGTGGGAATAGAGCGGCCGAAATGCCTCGGGCACATCAATTACGTGGTTTGATTCTAATCGATGTGAAATGGTTGTGCTGCTGATAGTCCTAATTACTTCACTATTCGATCAGGCCGGGCGGTGCTCACGGACTCCTTCAGATAAACGCCTGCTCGTGCCTCCAATGTACCTTGCCCCACAGGGATAGGTAGATAAGTGCACAGAAAAAGATACGGCAGAAACAGGCAATTTATCTTTGAGTTTAAAGCACAGAAGTGGCCTGGAGATAAACAGAATGCGCAGTTGTGCTGCGGGGAATGCTTTTTCTATAACTGTCCTCAGTTTACGTGTCATCACCTCTGCAGTTGTGTCACCCCTGAAAGGTAGCGATATGTAAAGCGGTTTATTCTCCACAGTAGTGATCTCATTTAGCAACCGGTGACGTCCTAAAATGTTGTCCACAAATCGTCCTGGGTATCCGTCTTGAAGGAAAACGTCTCGAATAAACCTCAAGACTTCTTTCATGAACGAATCACCCGTTCTGTGTAATCCCGGTAGGTTCACCAACTTTGAGTTGTATTTTGATTCAGTATCGAGCAATTTTCATGGTATGTCAAAATAAATTTAGGGTTTTGCTAATTTCCTTTATTACAATTACTTAAGGCCACCAAACCTTTTCCCAACCGATATTGGGTTCATTCAAGGGAATTTATCGTCACCCTTTTGATGAAATCATCTTAGTCTATACTAGCAAAGCCCTAAACTGTTTGACACATTGAGAGTTTAATGGTAAGTGGTTTGTAGTATAACCCTCCTGATAATTGGAAAATTTTACAGTATTTTTAATATAAATGCTTTGTTGCGTGTGAAACATAAGTACCGAGAGAGTGACACACGAAGTTCTTGTGTGTGTGACTGCCAAAGTGTGCATTAAAGCTCCAAGATTTTTATGTTTAATCAAACTACGCGGACAGAAAACGATATTGCCACAGAACAGTCTGATGTAGTGTCTGGCCTTATCACGAGCCATCTTCCCTAAAGTGAACTCATTTCAGTACATTCAGATTTATGATACAATTACAACCCAGTCAAAATATTCACGGAATAAGTTGGTTTTCTCCCATATTTTTTTCAATAAGCGTGAGAGTGTGCGTTAGGAACTACGGTATGCTATATTCTAGCATGCGTGCTTGTGGCTTGGTTTTCTTCGCTTCTATAACTGTCTAGATCTAAGTCACTCGGTGTGGTATCCAACCAAAAGGTTTGTAAACCTATGTGAGGACTTGTGTAGCTTATAACAGTCTATCAGTCACGCAGAGTCATTCACCATTGTAAATCTTTGGAAGTATATTGTAAAGCTGTTTACTTCTGAATAGGAATCAGCAGCAGCACCGTGATACATAATAGGTCACAAGGAATATTTATTCTAACGCCTTGTTCACTTGAGTTATCTGGGCTGGCTCTCTGAAGGCCTCTGTTGGAAAATCGTGTAGACAGGTTTCTATCATAGTTTGTTAGGGTCGGGTGCTTGCAAGGACAGCAATAGATTGGGTGTATCTGTGAGCTATTAGGTTTTACTTTTCCCCTTGAAGAAGGTTTTATTTACGAATATCGCTCAGTGTTCATTTTCAAGAGACTACTTACAAAATATTCAGCAAGGATTAGACAGCTTTGACGGCACAGTGTTTTTGATCTTACCTAAGAGGAGTACAGTTAAAGTGGTTTCCGATGCATCGTTATATACGAAATTAGAACAGGTGGGTAGAATTGTACACAAATTCCATGGTTTACGACATACTGTGCGGTTATTCTTCTCACAATATCAGCGTGATGAAAAACAGTTATACGACTTATTGTATAACACTGAGTGTGTGAAACATCTACACCCAGGATAGACCAGATTGAAAGCACCGGTTTACGTGACATATCAATTAGTAATTATTTTGTTCAATGTATCGTCTGTGTTTTGCTATATATACATATATATATATATATTCCATAATAAGTAGCATGTGAATGACTGCACAAAATTTCCCTGGAAGCACACGACCGGTTTCGCGGTTCTTGCCGCTCGTCGGGCATGCCTATCCGGTAATCTTTTGTCAGTTCATTCATATACTTATACCCAGGAAGTATATATATATATATATATATATATATATATATATATAAACATCAAACAGTCAAGAATAAACTTGATCAAGCACTGGTGGAACGTTCTCAATATACATGCTTTTGAATGCTCTCGGTTAGATCTTCTGGCTATAGAAATCCGCATTCATGATTTTTGTACCCGGAACACTGAATGATAGATAGCATGTCACTTTATTTCCCGTCCGTTTTCCCGCATCCCATTGATCCTGAGTGAACTGATCATATCGGAAAACCTTTTTTGTATATGAGCAAAACTAGTTTTAGTGTGCTTGGATTAAAAGAAGATACCAAGTTTCTGTTGCCTGTTGAGCTAGATGCTAATAGGTGTGTGATCACGCCCTTTCACTTCTGCCATAAGTTACTCAGCAGGCGTCAGGCAGTTCAATTTTCGCAGTCCTGCTTGCACGCTCCAAGTCGTGGATGAATTATAAGGACTACTGTCATGTTCAAAATTTATATCAACCCACGATCGCTGTGCTGTATCACCACTCATGTCGAAGATGGATTGAGAGGTGGTAGCGTGCACACACTCGCAGTCTCCGCCTGCTATAACACACACTGTAGAAAGTGCTGCATAATTCGATAGCTCGACAGTTTAAGTCATCCATAAAACATTCATTCATGATTTTTAATGCTTTAGCCTGACCAGAAACCAATGAACTCTACCAGCTTTGTCAACAACAGAGTTTATGGAAAAGACACTGGCTTATACACTGGCAACGGTCAAGTGATTAAGATTATCATCGGAACACATCGAATCATCCATAACAAATCGGTCGAAGTTAGCCCACTGATGTCAGAGCTTTTATCTACCGAAAGATAGGTCTTAAATGCAGTCGTATTTCCTACATTGTTCTGGCCAACGCATTAGCTTATACGTTCACAAAAATGGTCAAAATACAGATAGACGTTGTTGCTTAGAGGTCTGAAGATACCGTGTATCTGTCTATTGATGTCTATTGATGATGTTGTATTAAGACCATTCGGAACATTTCTGTTCTAGCTAGTTAATTACAGTGCGACAAATTATTATTAATTCTGTATTTCGAACCAAATCACGGACCGTTCAGTCCATTCATCGATCGGTCCAGAGTCCACTTGGAACCATTCACACACACAACCAGCAAAAGGAACCAAATGTAGTGAAAGTGACTGATTGTACCATCATCCCGGTCTTGCATAAAACGGTAAGACTTCGGTTAGCATTTTGAAGGGTTTAGACCCACCACGTTCCCACCACAATTCTGCCCTCAAGAGGCTAAGGTCAATGGTCTTGTCAACTCACAATTTATAATACTATGGATTTTTGAACTTTTGTTTAACAGTAGGGTTCTGCTCCCATCACGACCTACTTGAGAGTGATCTCACTTTACTATGGCTTGTGACAATCA